AAAAAAAAAAAAAAAAAAAAAAAAAAAAAAAGATCAAATTGGGAATTTAGCATGGAGGTAGACAAATACTATTCTTCTCAGAGAATAAAGTTGAGATTAAGCAAAATCTTTATGGCTTCTGCTTGATGCAAGTAAAAAATATTACAGACTAAAGTCTAGGAAGTTGAACCCTGCAAATTCATGTATGGAAATACAATACATCCTCAAAAACTTTTTCATTCTTTTCTTTAGCTGCAGAGCCACATTCTGCAGAAATTTAGGATTGATGTTATCTTGCAAAGGCTGCTGCCAAGAACGACTCTCCTGCCAGCCAGCACCCATCTGGGGAAGGAAACATGAGGCCTGGGAGGTTCCAAGCGTGTTAGCATGAAATCCATTTCCTGCTTCCAAGTGGTGGTCACAGAGGGGGTCTATGCCTGTGCTTCTCAGGAATGTCCAGGCTGGCACTGTGCCCAGCACCTACTCCATGGGGTGTGTCCAGGGCTCGTGAAAAGGATGTGTTGTCCTCTTCCAGTCTCCCTCTTTGTCCATACCCTGAATCTCCCACCGTTTCAGCCCCATAATTTGTCAAAAACAGTAATGCATGGACTATTTGCAGCAGTTAGGGTGGAAAACAGTACTTTTGAATAAATTTGAGGGTAACTGAGCATTTTCCATCTCTCTGGGATTTCATTTTGCAATAGGATCTGAGCTGGAGAGAAACCAGACCCTTGCTTGAAGTTTGGCGGAAGGCGGGGTAGGGAGGGGAGGAGAGAATGGGCATGAGAAGGACCAGGGCAAGACTCAGTCTCTTTGTTTTCTCAGGCCTCACGCTGGGCACTTCTGAAATTCCTCAGAGAGAAACAAATGAGCCCTATTCATAAAGCAGATGGAAAGTCAGTCTTCTCATGAAAGTCAGTCTTCAGAAAGGGGCCGAATCTCTTGTGAGCCCTGAACTTAGGAAGGAACAGTTGTACTTTTGGACCGCAGACCTCACTGGGCAGGCATCCTGAATGGCGCCAGGTGATCAGCGCTGCATTCTCGCTGTGAGTCTGAGGCGGGCTTGGGTGTCATCACTGCAGAGTGGGACCTGGTGTCTGCACACTGTGCGGGTCGTAGGTGCTGGGGTTTCTTTTCATTCATTTGGATTTAAAGGTGGTTGGGCATGCTTTCCTGGTTACACACTTTCTGATGCTGCTGAAGCCAATACTTGAAATCTTCGCAAGCAAATGTGGTATAGCATTGCTGATGACTGCTCATCAGGATTCACTTTGAAACGAGTGACAGACAGAAAGAGCAGAGATCCATGGTGATTGTAGTCAGTGTTAAACACCACTAACCCAAAAAGAAAACAAACAGTGGATTAGTAAGAGATTTTAATACAAATAGGTGCAAAGAACAGGCCCGAATTGTAGAATGATTTTTGAAAGACACTTTACATTCTCTAGAGATTGCTAAGTACAGGACTCACCCATTAGCCTCGGACTTGTGATTTTTTCCATTTGGGGATTTTGTTAAAACGTAGTTTATCTTCTTAAACTTTCCTAGGTGATTTCACAGCTGCTTCTGTTTTCCCTATACATTTCTATGAAGCGAACATTGCTCTGATGCTCTGGAATTTAATTTGGATTGGGCGGTTTCTCAAATCCATCAAGGGCATTGGGGCAGGGAATAAGTGCAGTTGCTTTCTCCTCGGAGAGAATAGAGCACGCGATGGTGATAACTGGACGACTGCGATCTGGAGTGGTCCTTACTCTCTACGTGAAAACAGTTCCGTGCTTTCTTGGGTTCCGTATTTATTAGTACATATGAGCCATCGGGATCAATGGGCTTCATTCCGACACATCTGTACACATGTGCAGTCATTCTTTATTGTTGATGGTTGGTTTACATTTTTCTCTAGAAAGGGCTTCCCAGGCAAGACCCAGGTCATAGGCAGGACGCTGCAGTTAGGGATACTGAGAGGAGAGCAAGAGTCCTGGAGGGGCACATTTTGCACCAAAAGCATCATTCTTGAGGTTGACTTTCTTATTGCCATTAAGTATTATTTTTTACTATTTCTGAACTTTCACTGCATGCCATGAAAACAAATGAGGTGAGTGCTGTTTTCAAATCTGTAAGTTTTACTCGGAGAATTTATCCATCCCAGAAGAAAGAATTTTTGCAACATTGTAGTACTGGGAAGTTTTTCTGCCAATCAAGAAAACAGATCAACTTTACGATCCCAGGAGTCACTGAACACTGTCTGAGTCAACAAACTCCTCGTTCGAAGAACACTTGGCTGTGTTCGTCAGTTCTCCGGGACATTTTCCCAAACTGAGCAGACTGCTTTGGAGACTGTACTTGTGAATCCTAGATGGTTGGGGACAAGAATGGCTGAGGTTTGGGCCGAGAAACCAGCCTTGGGACATCCTGGAACTGTGCAATGGGGAAAGATCAGGAAGCACAGTGAGTCCGGAGGACCGCGCTGCGTCCACAGAGGAGGATTCCAGGGGAAAACCTGAAATCTTGTCATTGCAGCAAAATGGGTAGAGCCATTAGGAGAAATACAGCAGAGGCAGACAGACAAGCTGGGCCTGGTGGCAAATGCCTGTATTCCCAGCACTCCTGGAGGATGAGGCAGGAGGACCACTAGGTCCAGCTAAGTCTTAGTGACTCCTTGTCCCCAAATTTTAAAAATTTAACGAGAAGAGGAGGAGGAGGAAAAGGAGCAGAGGGAGGAAGAGAATGAAAAAAAAGAGGAGGAGGAGATATTTTGCCTCATATTTGAGAGCTTAGAAAAAGGAGGAGCTAAAACAGTAAACCTGCGCAGCGTAACAATTAATAGAAATTGACGTGAATGTAGGGGATAAGTGGATAAAAAAGTTGAATTTGATTAATGCACAATATCTACATGTGTAGGAGTATCATATTAACTCCATTCATACATGTTTATCAAAAATTTCAATAAACTTTTTAAATCCTTAAAAATATATTGCTACACCTGCAGGTCAAACCCCTTAGCTGGGAGAGAACAGCTAAGCATTGGTTTCATGAGAACCTTAGGTGAAGGCAAAATTCAAGCATGTATTCCAAAACTGGTTTCCTTGATATTTCATCTGTACTTATCTTTCTTTATTAATATTTCATCAAAGCTTTGCAATGGATAAAGCTAAGACCCTGGGTTATATTTTTACATTGCGTGTGGACTAAGTTTTCAAGTGAAATGGCCACATTTTTTCTAGCAGAAGTAACACTAGATGGATTTCAATGTTAATTCTACAGGGAAGGCTATGTGCTTTGAAGACAATAAAAAAAACCTCTGATTAATGTATTTTTAGATGGCCAGTTAATTTTACTTACTCAGACTCCCATGCAACAAATGGCACTGTGTGAAACTGACCACTTTTCTGCTGAATAAGATCTATCATTCAAAAGAAATATCTGGGGCGTGGTTGGGGTTGAGATGGAGGCTGTCTGGAAAGACAGGGGAACAAATATTTTGTGAAAGCAGCTGACAGCCACACTCAATCCTGACAGAAGAACCTGGAGGTGGCTCTGGCTGGTTTTAGGTCAATCTCCCATGCGGAAGAAGTAAAGCACAGCAAAACGAAAGCAGCAGGAGAAGACAGATGGGTTACATAGTCACGGAGAGCTCGGCAGGCTCCTGGAAGGGTGAAGGGTCTGGGGAATCTCATGTGCCCGGTGGGTTTGATCTAGAGAAGGGGCCTTGGGATGTTCCATTCCTCTCAGCATCCCAGAGGCTGCTCCCAGGTGAGCTGTACACCCGGCTGCCCAGGTGGCTCCGATGATCACTCATCCTCTGAGAAGTGACTACACAGTGGTGGGCTCTAGGAGTCTATGTATTTTTTTTTTTCTGTGTGGAATTCTAATACTTTTCCCTGATTCTTTAAAAAGGCCTGATAATCACCTTTTAAATTCTAGAACAATGCTCAGTAGTTCTCAAAAAATTCTGAGCAAAACATCAACAAAGAAGCATTGGTAGGGCACAAGTCTGGGAGGCAGGGATTGGATTGGTTTGATGTTGCCTCTTGGACCATACTGTGTACACTGCTGGGCAGCAGCATAGAGGCCTGAGACCCTCCACGCCTTCAGCACCGCACAGATGGTCATGGTACGAAGGTGCACCTTACATTCTTTGGCACAGAGGATTTTTGTATCCACTCAACTCTGCTTACTAAGAAGGTCTTCCACCATGTCTTGCCTCCTTATCCACCTTAGTACCACAGGCTGGCTCCTGAGTCTCCAGGACTTCTTTTATAAGAAGTCAGTTTCCACACAAGCTATAAATCCTGCTCCTCATTAACTTTGCTTTGCTTCTTCTATTATCTTCATTCATCACCTCTTTTGTCTATCTATTCCCAGGTGAACAGCTTCTAGTACCATCCTTCTTAAGCACAAGACAGACAAAACACCACAGCCATCTTTGACGTTTATCCCTTCCTGCTTCTTCCCAACAAAACTCTCTCTAAGTGGTTGGCTACTCATTAACCCCTTCACCTTCTTGTCTTCTGCTTGTTGCTCAAATCACCCAAATCTGGCTACTCTCATAATTCATTGAAACTTTCCAAGATCTCCAGTGGTCTTCATGATGCTAATTTCAGTATCTTCCCTTGATTTTCTCAGCACAGCGTTTTCAGCATATTTAGTGCATCTGACCTCCCTACGCACTGTTGCCCTCTGCTCTCAGCGAGACCATCCTCTCTGTGTGTGTGTTTCCCTCTGGCTCTGCAGCTGTTCTCCTCTACTGCAAGACAAAATGATGAGATGGAAAAAGCTCGCTCCTGGTTACTCTAATATTTTCTCTTTCTATTCCATTCCTAGATGTTATCATCTTTCAAAATGAGTTTAAATCATATTCGTACAGTACTGGCCCTCAAATTTAAATATGTGCACGGTGACTAATCAGCTTCCTTTTTGACATGTCCACTTGGGTATTTCACAGGAATTACAAACGGAACACATTTCAATCAGGGCTCCCAGTTTTTATTCCAAGCATCCTCGGAAACGCATTCTCTACGCCCAACACTGTGACTGCTGGAAAAGTCTGCCCAGCTGCTCTCTAAGGCCATATTGGGGTGGGTGGAGGGAGATCGGGGAGAGTAACTCTTCATTCACCAGTCTGTCTTGCATTTATCAATCTTCATTTCTACTCTCTTTTTAAATCTCAGTTCTCTCCACTTCTGTCCGCACATCTGACATGGGAATGAGTTTCCCAAGACCATGTGGACAGTGCAGTGGCTCCCTCGCTGATCTGCCGGTGGCCAACTTCATCCCATTTAGTCTATGTGTCACTTATAAATTTAGCATTTAATACATTCGCAAACCTGACAGCATCACTTTCCTACTTGAACCTGTGCAATATCTCATTATGATTATTTAAAGTCTTCAGCAGACCCTGGCCAGCTTTCTGATTTTGCCTTTGGGTGACATCCTGCCCTGACCTCATGTCCTGCCCCCCGTTTTCCCTCAGGTGTACCCACTTTCCTCAGGGCATTCTCTCTGAGGGGCCACTTCAGGACCACAATGAAACACCCTGGCCTTTATCTCTGGATGCCCTTCTGCTCTCCTTGTCACCGGCCCTGGTCTGTAGTCCTGATCAACAGCACCTCCAAAAGAAACTGAACTGTAGTATAGCAATTTCCACACAAGTATGACTTTATGATATTAGAATTTAAAACCTAGGAATGAATTCACTAGGATTTACATTGCATCCTTGATATGTAGCAAAGTATGGACATCCTTTCATTTTACCATGGAAGAGCAAGCGAGGGGGAGGCGTTAGGAAAGCAAGAACCTCGCACTTGGGAAGGGGACATTTCAATCTGCAGAGGTGTCTGGATATAATTATAATCAGTAGGAGCGCTACTGGCACATTTCAGGAAGCACATTCTTCAATGTAGATCATTATTTCTCACAGGGAAGACTTGTAGCAAACCTATCCCTTTCACCTTAATAGTACTCTGGGTCCTGCCTTTGTTTGTATTTTAACAAGCAAGATATCTCTAAACACTTCCACGCCTCCTCCAGAGGGATGCTATTAGCC